TACTAAAAACAAAACAAAACAACAACAACCCCTCAGATTACGATTAGCTCAGGTTGAATCAAATGCCCATCCTGAGCCAACCGCTGTATGGCAGGGTTCAGCGATTAGATTGGCCTGGCCCCAGCCTGGTGCTCACTGGAGAACGCTTATGACTTGGTGGGAAAAGGACAGTGAATGACACCTTTGCCAGGAGCACATGATGACAGGGAAGAAGCTCCCTAAAGCAGCCAGCAGCTCCCCCATCCCCAGCTTGGTCCCCCGCAGTTCCAGGTGTAGTAGTGTTTGGCCAAGAGATGGGGCAGGGCAGGGAGGCCTGGGGTCGTGGTCACTCGTCACTCGTGTGTCCATCAGCCATAATCTCTGAGAGCTTCTGATCACTCAGCCACTGCTGTGGGCTTTGGGATCCAGCAAAAAGCCAAACAGACAATCCCTGCTCTGGTGAAGCTTATTTTCTTATGGCAAGAAATGGCCCAAAAGATAAATAAATAAAATATACGTAGGACATCAGCTGGTGATAAACAGCATCGAGAAAAGCAAAGCAGGGCAGGACAGGGAAGGCAAAAGCCAGGTTGGGGCATGGTTTCTCCACTGGGTTGGGCGGAGGCTCAGGGAGGTGTGAGGTTTAATGGAGCCCTGCACGAGGCAAAGGAGAGAGCCTGTGCAGGCCCCTGGAGAAGCGAGAAGGAAACCCCCAGGCTTGTACTCTGTGGGGAGGGGTCACCTGTGAGGTGTTTGCTGTGGTCTTTTCTCCATCTGACTGTGCTAATCTGAGAGTGGGGACAACATTTAGACCTTCATTCATTCCTCCATTCCTTTGCTGAGCAAGCACATGCTGAGTACCTCTATGCGCCGGGTGCCGAGAGCACACACGCGCATCCCACCTTCTAGTGGAAGAGGAGAAGAACACCAGCTCGGTGCCAGGGGACAGTGCACCAGCCTGCAGGAGAATCTCACGAACAGCCCACAGTCCCTCACCCCCTCCAGAAAGGGCTCCAAGTCCTGGGTCTCCAGTCCTCTGCTGGTCCAGCTTGAGCTCCTGGTGGCCCCACTGATTCACCCCTCTTTCCCACTGTGCTTAGTAAGGAACGTGCGTGGGGAAAGGGAATAACAGCGCCACATCCCCCATTAGGAGAAAGAAGGGAAGTGGCATTCCCTGGTCACTGGTCTGTGGTCTCTGCCCCATCTGAGGTTGGGGGCATGAGTTTCCACGTCGGGTCACCAGCCGCCAAGCTCTAGGCTTGGGTGGAGGTTTCTGCCTCGTGACCCTGCACGGCCGTGCCTGGCATGGGCCAGGCAGGGAAGGGACCAGATTCCTCGGCTTCTCTTCTGAGGGCCCCTCTGCGTTTTCTTGCTTCCATGTTCTTCGCTTCTCACACCCGGTGTTTGTTGTAGCAATACGCGCACCGGCCCCCACCGGGGACACCCAGGGCAGGGGTCTGAGTCCGCCACTGGGCACGTGAAGGGCGTGGAGGGCGATGCTGAGTTCCTGGTTGGGGAACTGGGCCGGAACTGCCCGTTTCTGCAAAAGGAACCACACAAGCTCTTGCCTGGGGATAGGCAGGGCCTGAGCTTTGAGATGCTGAGTTAGTAGCATCCACAGGATACTCAAAGGCCTGAAAGTCTCGCAGTCCAAGAAGGGTACGAAAGCAGAAGCAGGGGTTCAAGAGCCAGAGGAAGACGAGTTATGGGGGCAGGTGAACTGGCGTGGAGATGTTCACCATCGAAGGGCCCTGGGGCGGGGCTGAGGGAGAGGAAGCGAGAGCGCTGTGGGGGTCATGGCCTCAGCACCAGCCACGTCCCGCCCCTCCTCGGCCTCCCTCCCACTTGGCGGGTCAGGGCCAATCGATGTTTCGGCTCCCAACCTATGTAGCTGCACGGTCCAAGGGGAAGGAGAGCTGAGACTCCTGGGACAGTGCGGACCTGGAGTTTCCATGACAGCTTTCCCACACGTTTCCTCACGGGGAAGGTCTCAGTCCAGTCCCCGGTTCACCTAGAGGAGGTGTGGGCCACTCAGAACTGTGTGCCTGTGGGAGGGAACCCTAGATTTTCCGAGAGCGTCTCTGAGTTTGAGGCCGTGGCGGGAGCTATTCCAGAGAGCACAGGCTGAGCAGACATTCTTGCCCAACATTCCCTGTGGCCTGGAAGCTGTGAGTGAAGAGTTCAAGCCTTCCTAACAAATGAAGGAATGCTCAGTGATCCTTGGGGCCTGCTGAAGTGTGCCCCAGGGCCCGGCAGGTGGGCGGCTCTCGGTCAGTGTTGATCGGGCAGCAGGTGAGTGTGGGATGAGAACTCAGGGGTTTCCTGAGCCCACGGAGTGGCCATAAGTCCTAAAGAAATAAACAGGTGTTTCCCACAGTTGGCTTAGAGGATAATGAAGCGATGTGCTCTCCCTTTAGCAGCTTCAAGAATTCACTCCTCTGTAGTTTTTTGTTTTTTGATTTTAGCTCCTTCGCTGTCAGCTTGAGGTTTCCTTCAATTCCCCTGACCCAGAGCTGGGGGAGGGGCTGCAGCGACAGCATTATTGTCCCAGACGGGAAGGACACAAAGGACCGCTCCTTGTCCTTTCCCGCCCTCAGAGGGGGACGGCGTGGATCCTAGCAATCCAAGGCTCAAGTCAGAACAGTCCCCTCCCCCTTTCCCTCCCTCCTTTCCTTCTCATCTTTCCTGAAATGGATTTTGAGTCCATGAAGGGGTCCCCGCCGCATCTGTTCAGTCCCTGGCATGGCACCAACTCACAATATTATAGCGCGGTGGCCACAGCAGGGTCACCATCTGAGCACACACTCTGAGCGTCTGTGTCTAGCATGGAGCCAGGCCCGGGGGGCATATGGACATGTCCCTCCCTGGCTGTGCCCTCAGGGAGCTCCCAGCAGAATCGTAGGGGAGGAGGCCCCCAGGGAGGGTGACAGCACCTCAGAGAGTAGCAGGGAGTTGGATTGAGGCTCTCAGGAAAACTTGGGGACTTTGAGCTGCTCCCCAGGGTCATCCCACACAGCAGTCCCCTCCCCGACGTCCAGCTGCCTGCTGGGGCCGTCCCTCTAGGATTTGCCCTGTGATTGAGTCCTCGTGCTTGGACTCTGTGAGTGGGCCGTTCTCACCCTCCTTCCTGTCACCTCTGGAGGCCCAGGGCTGCTGGTTGCTGGAGGAGCTGGAGGTCAGGGTCTGCCCACAGTTGCTGATATTTCCTGGCACCCTGGGGGACCGCTGGCCAGCAGTTTGGTCCAACTAATAAGATGTCAGAATGCACGCATGCATCCATGCGTCTCCAGCGTGTCCTTCTCCAGCGTCTCTCAATGGGGACTCCGGGAGCACAGGCCAGGCTGAGGCTAAGGAGGGAGAGGCTGAGCCGTGGCGTGTGCCATCCATCACCCCAGCACTTGGCAGCGGGAGGCTTGGAAGATGTGATGTGGGCCCACCCCAGCCGCAGGAAAAGCCCGGGAGAAGCTGCTCACTTGGTGCTGGGTCTGGCGACTCTGGCATCGTAACTTGCTTGTCCTTGCAGCAGCTGGGCCAAGCCCTGGGGTTGTACAGGTGAGGCGCCCGCTATGTGCCTAGCACAGTGCCAGGCCCAGCTATGCCCGGGAGACTGTCATTCTGCAGGGGCCTGGGCCGTCTCCACTCTGATTTCTGATTCCCTCAGTGCACCCTGTCCCGGGGGCTGGTGTTCCCTGGAGTCCACCCTCTCCCTGTCCAGCAAAGAGCATTGGCTCAGCGTAGGGGCTTTCAATCTAGAAGGACGAGCTTGAATCCGGACCCCCTGCCTTATAAGCTGTCACCCTGGACACTTTTTTAAAAAGCCTTTTCAGCCTCGGTTTCCTCATCTGTACAACAGGAGACAGCTGGGACAAAGCACAAATGAGGCGAAGCGGTTGGCTCCCGCCTGGTGTGTACTGCGCCTGTACCACACTGTGGAACCCTCCTCCCTGTGGCACCCTCTGATGCTGACCTTTGTCTCAGGTGACAGGAACACCCTCGAAAGGCTTTGACGAGAAGGCGTACCTGTCAGCCAAGCAGCTGAAGCCTGGAGAGGACCCCTACAGGCAGCACGCCTTCAACCAGCTGGAGAGTGACAAGCTAAGTCCTGACCGACCCATCCGGGACACCCGTCATTACAGGTGTGAAGATTAATCTTAATCTTTTCACTTGATTGTCTTGAGGGATGCATAGGAGATTAGTAACATACACTTCTGGGTGTGTCTGAGCGGGTCTTGGGGCTTCAACTTGAGGGGCTGTATCTGATCCCTGTCCCCTTCCTGCCTGGCTCTTCCTGGCTTCCAGGAGGTGAGGAGCTATCCCTATACCTTATCCTTCCTCCACGGTGCTTCTGCCTTGGAGCTGCTGACCGTGGACTGAAACCACCCAAACTCTGAGCCAGAATAAACCTTCCCTCCTTGAGATGTACGTCAGGTATTTTGGCCCAGCCACAGAAAGATGACTGATGCAGCTGGTAGGGACGGCCCCCATCGTGTGGGCAAGAAGGAAGGCTGGAAAAAGGCCCCCACTGTCCTGCTGGCTTTCTTTTCCTCACATGTATTGAGGAAGATTTTCTCAGTCTTGGTCCAGTGACTTAGATTCAAAAGCTCTTGTACTCAGCGGCTGTCCTATTTTATCAGCTGACTCACAGCCTTCAAAGACCAAGGAAACACCCCCAGCTGGGGTCAGGGGGCCTGTGGCACCTCATCCGGCATCCCAGCAGGAGCCACCTGCCACTGACCACAGGGGGGTCTCAGGCAGGAGGGGACGCAGGCTCCTGAGAAGGCGCCTCCAGCCCATGGGTCTCCCTTGCCTCCTGCCTCCTGCCCCACCTCCCCAGTGACTCCCAGAAACCTGCTAATGTAGTTCTCCCGGCGTGGGAGGTAGCAGAGGTTCTGAACCAAAGACAGGGAAGCCGCACTCCAGCCCCGCCTCTGACTCTCGCTGCATGAGAGACCAGCCTTGCACAGGTCATGACCCTCCTCTGTGATTCAGGGCCTTGTGTGTCCTGTCTGCAGCATACATCACCCTCGTCCTTTCCTCCCCCTGGTGTCACCTGCGGGAGCTGCAGTCCTGCACTCCTCTCTCCTCCCTCCTCGTTCTCACACACGCGGTTCCCTCCGCCTGAACACACTTCCCCCACCCCACCTATATCCGTCAAGACTTGGCTCAGCATCCTCTTCTCCAGGGAAGGCTCCTTGCCAACCCTGGCTGGTTCCAGGGTCCTGCTCTGCCTGCTGCTTTGCATAAGAAGCAGGAGCTACGTGGGACCCAGCCACAAGCACTGAGCTGTCTGGCCCGGGTTTGTGGGTGGGCAAGAGTTATTTCTGAAGCAGCCACTCCATAGCACAAAGCCCGCATGTGAAAGAAAGGGGCAGGGCTGGTTCAGCACCTTCCTCTTAGTCGAGGCGCTTCTGAGGTCCAGAGGGCTTGGCTGGGAGGCCTGTGCAAGGTGAGACAGATGCGGGGGCCAGGGTTCCCCAGACGTTGGACTCACTGTGCTGCCAGTCCCTAGAATCCCTTCTGCTGCCAAGTAAGGCAATAATTCTGCTATGGACAACCTGTCCTCTCACGCCCAGGTCTAAACAGCGGTGTCACTGGGTGTGGTGGCGCACACCTGTAATCCCAGCACTTGGGAGGCTGAGGCAGGAGGATCATTGTAAATTGGAGACCAGCCTGGGTACAAAGTGAGCTCAAGGCCAGCCTGAACTGCATAGCGAGACCCCCGTCTCAAAAAGACAAAAATAAATAAATAAAATAAACAGCCGTGTCCAGGTCCCAGAGAAGCCCTTTCTCAGTCAGCCCAGGTCAGTCCCCCCGTGTCCCTCGGCTTGGCCTGCAAGGTTAGGTCCATTGAGCTCTGCTCGGCCTTTTGTGGGCAGCCCTGACCATGGCTGACCTAAGCCAACACAGGGCCCAGGGGAGCTGCTGACCCAAACCTGAGGATTAAGGTCTGGCTGGTCTGTCTCTGCCTGTCCTCCCAGCTCACTCCCACTCTGAAGCTTCTGGGTGTTCACTGAGAAACCAGAAGGGGAAATTGCCCATAGGGTGAAACATGTTTTAAAATGAGACTCTAGGCCGGGTGTGGTGGTACACACCTGTAATCCCAGCACTTGGGAGGCTGAGGCAGGAGGATCACTGTGAGTTTGAGGCCTGCCGGGGCTACAAAGTGAGCTCAAGGCTAGCCTGAGCTGCGTAGTGAGACCCTGTCTCAGAAAGGCAAAAAATAAATAAATAAATAAAAGAATAAAATGAAACTCTACACCCAGGGCAGTGGTGAATTTGTAGGGTGCTGCAGGACCAAGGTGGACCGGGCTAGCATGCGCACATGCATGGGTGTTCAGGCATGTCCAAGTATGCGTGTGCAGGTGTGTGTGTGGGCACATATGTCTGTGCATACATACGTGTATGAGTATGTGTGTGTGTGTGTGTGAGTGTGTGTGTAGCTGGAGCCTGTGTGTGGAGCCCACGTCCTCCCACTGCCGTTTCTCCTGGACTGGGAAGTGACAGGCTAGTTCCCGGCCCCCCCTCAACCCAGGGGACCCCCTCGCCATCGAGTGGAACAAAGAGACATAGAGCACACAGGACAGATCTGTTAGGACCAGAGGGACAGCCCCACCAGCCCACAGTGCAACTCCCGGCAGGCGACAAAACCCTTCTGCGACTCCCGGCCCCGTCCTCATAGAGCTAAGAAATCCACGCGGAAGGTGGGAGTCGGGGAGAGGCTGACGTCCACCATGCAGACAGGACATGGGTCGTTTGTGCCCTCCCGGAACAGAAGGACATTGCTATCCAGATTCCCTCCTTCCTGGACACCTAATGGTTGGAGGCCGAGGACAGCGAACCAGAGCCCGGAGTCAGGGCTGGGGCTGGGTGCCGCGGACGCCTTCCCAGCCGGCCGGGCCCACTCCTGGCCCATTGCAAAGACCTTTGGAAAATGTGGCTTCTGGGAGCGGACGGAAGGATTCCCTCCCACACCGCTGTCCCACGTCCCTTTTCAAGTCTCCCAGGCTTTCTCCCCTGGGGGTCCCAGGCTGGAGGGACTCCTGCCCGGCTGACCGGCTCTGCTCTAGGGGGCAGGAAATAGGCCTGGGAATTCCTGCTAGAAGTGCCCGTCAGGGGAATGCATGTCGTAATGAAAAAACAGTCGCTGTTGGAATAGTCATGGAGCAAATGCAATAAAGAAGATCGCTGTGAGAACCAGCGGAGGCGGCTGTCTCCAGGCGGCCGGAGCCCAATCAATGCAGTAGCAGGAATGACAGGGAGGAAGGTGGTGGCGGGGACGGAGTGCTTCCTTACCCTCTCGAGCCCCTGAAAGCCTGGTCTCCTCAGGGGCCTGCCCCGCTCCCCGTGCCCCCTGCAGGGCTGTTTATGTCCCCTCCTCCACAAGAAGGAGGGATCCCCTGCAGACAGGGAGGGGTGATTCCTGCTCAGAGTGGGAGAGTGGGAGAAGAAAAGGAAGAAGCCCCAGGGAGCCAGGAGGAAAAGGAGGGTGGTTTTCTTCTTGCCCTGTACCCCCATTTTGTTTTACTGCTGCCCAGTGGGCAGGGGCCTCCGTTGGGGTCCGGTTCCCTCCTGGGTCCTGGTGCCAGCCGGCCTTGGTAGGAAGTCCGCCTAAACAGGCAGTGGAGGTGGGGCTCTCTGGGTGTTCCAGGTCTTTGGTAATGAGCTCCGGGCCTGGGAAGGGCTCCCCCCACCAGCTGCTTCCCTGCGAGGACTCCAGGCGAGGTGGCACCTGGCTGCCAGGCCCGTGTGAGGCCTTCTCTGCCTCACAGAACCATTCTGGGGAACAGCAAAGAAAAGCGTGGAGCCGCTTGCTGGTGCCCCACGGCTGGCCCCTGACCTCCCCGCTCCCTTCTAGCTGCCCATCCCTGTCCTACTCCGCGGACCTGCCGGCCACCAGCGTCATCATCACCTTCCACAACGAGGCCCGCTCCACCCTTCTGCGCACAGTGAAGAGGTAACCGGCCGGGCCCCATATCCCGGTGCCAGGGCCCTCAAGGCCCGGGTAGTCTGCAGAGCCTCTGGCCTGGCAGGTCCCGGAGGGCGGGTGCTCTGGCCAGGTCACAGGAAGACCAGCAGGCACTGGGAAAGTGAGTGCTGTCCTGAGAAGTGGGGCTGGCGAATCAGGGTCAGGAGACACCAGAGGCCTACGGTAGGCCAACAGAGGCCAGGAGTCCATGACAAGGGCTGGAACGCAGGATTCAGAGCAGAAGGAGGCAAGGAGGAACATGAGGCCTGAGGAGGGTGGGCGCCAGCCAAGTGGGTACTTGGTGAATCAGAGAGAGGTCCCTCCTCCTCCCGTCCTCTAAACTGGTTCTGCTGGGGATGTAGCTCAGTGGCATAAGCGCCTGCCTGGCAAGCGCGAGGTTGTGAGTTCAATTCCCGGTACCACAAAAAAAAAAAAAAAAATTAAACTGGTTCTTGTAGTCAGGCCTGACCCCCACCCACCGATGAACTTCGGTAAGAAGGGGATTTGGAAAGGTTACCCTGTGTGTTCCACGGACTCAGAGGCTTGAGTGCCCTGACCCGGAGAGATGGACAGAAACGGGCACAGAGGAAAGGCAGGAACGAGGGGCCCCTGAGAAGACCTCTCCCGCTCTCGGGGACGGCGGGAGCCTCACTGGCCGCCTGGGTCGGCGGCGGGGCTGTCCCTGCCCCACATCGCCCAGGTCCAGGCGGCTGCGCCAGGCGGGTGAGAACCTGGGGGTCAGCTCTGGTCAGGGCCAGGACGTCTGCAGGCAGTGCGGTGGCCCGCGCGCTGCCTGGAGCGGAGTGGTGGGGCCGGGGGAATGGAAGCCGCCCCTGAACCCGGCTCCCTCTCTCTCCTGCTGCGATCCAGCGTCTTGAACCGGACTCCAGCCAGCTTGATCCAGGAGATCATTTTAGTGGATGACTTCAGCTCCGACCGTAAGTGTCCCCGTCCTCCGCTCCATTCCACCCTACGCCGTTTCTCCCCACCCCACAAGGCAGAAGCGAACGTCTTCCTTCCGGATGCCCAAGCCACGGGGCCCTGCCCTCTCCGCCGGCAAATAGAGCTCCGTGGTCTTTTTCCCAGGACCTGTACCCAGCCCTAGTGCCAAAGACGGGGAAAGGGTGGTGCTGCTTAGGATAGAACATGAACGGTATGACGTGTAAAAAAATCTGGAGCCACATCAACAGCGTTCTTCGTGATTACAGCTGCTGCGTGCGAAAGAGCACCCTTCTGAACAGCTTCCCGAGAACAGGGCTGCCCGACAGCGCTGTGCTCTCTGGCGCCCCCTGGCGTGAGGCCGGGGGAAGGCCACAGAGACGGGTATTCCTCACGCTGGCCTGGGGCAGACCGGTCCTTCAGCTGGCAGGGAAAGGATGCCTGTGACCTCCCACCTCGCCCTCCCCCTTACCCTGGGCTGGTATGGAACAGCTTCTGGGCAGTTCCATGGCAGCCAAGCCACTCGTGGTGTGCTGCCCGCTCATCTGAGTGAACTTGCCTTCCTTCTGTCTACCCTCAGCTGAGGACTGTCTGCTCCTGACCAGGATCCCCAAGGTCAAGTGCCTGCGCAACGACCGGCGGGAAGGTGAGTGCTTGGACAGCTCTAGGCACGTTGCCCTACTTCCAGCTGCCTTCACTGTCCCTTCTGAGAAGTGGAACGATGAGAGCACCCTCTGCTTCACAAGGTTACCTTAAGGGTGAGAAGCCAGGGCCTGCATGGGCAGGCTTGGACAAAGGCAAAGGGAAGGATTAGGCAGATGTAACCTCGCTTCTAACTGAGAGGGGTTGCAGGGCACTGGCTGTGGCATGGCGTCGGGCACAGCCCTCTAGGGATGCAACAGAAGCAGGAAGCCCGGCCCCAGCCCGCGGAGGGCTGCTACGGGCCGAGGGCCACATCCTCCACAGAACCAGGCAGGCTGCTTGCACAGGAGAGCTGGGACGCGCGGGGCAGGAGCCTGTGGAGGAGTGGGCCTCGACGGGGGCGAGGAGCTCGTGAGACAGGACGGAGGCGGCAGTGGGAGGCACTCCAGGCCTGGGCTGTGCATGTAAAGGCCCCCATCGGCCAAGAGAGTGAGGGGGGTCCTAGGAGCCCCTCTTCCTGACTGCCAGGTGTCCACACCACGTGGCCCACGTTCTCCCATTTGGTCCTCACGACCATTTTTGTAAATAGGGAAATTGGGGTTTCAGAAGGCTCAGTAATTTTCCCAGGGTGACAGAGAGGGGGGCCACGATCTAGCCAGATGCATCAAACATGAACGCCAGCCTCAGCCTCGCCGTGCTTGGCCTTCCTGTGAGAATCCCGGCCTGGTCAGCCGGGGAGATGGGGGGAATCACCTGAAATGGGAGAAGACCTTGAAAGCCAGAAGGAAGCGTTTAGACTTGATAAGTGGATAGCAGGGAGCCCCTGAAGGTTTGAAAGTGAGGGAAGGGGGAGACATGTGTGTAAGGAAGACCAGTTAGGCCCCGGGGCCATAATGGCTGGAGAGAAAGTGTTGTGTCCTAAACCACTGCAGTGCGGGTGCCGTGGGGCTGGGGACGTGCTGCCCACCGAGTCGGAGGATGGATGTACATTCACGACCAGATGCTTCCGGGATTCCTTGGGAGGAGGAGGATGGGCCGTCTGGCCGGTGGGCAGAGGCAGAGTGTCGGGCAGAAGTGTGGCGGGGGACTCTCTCCAGGAAGTGACTTGTGTCAGAGAGCACGGACCAGGGCCTTTCCCTCCCCACAGCTCCCGGGACTGGATGGCAAGGGCAGGACCAGCTGGGCCTCCTCCCTCCTGACCAAACAGGTCCCCGCCCCGAGAAGCCCATTCTTTGCTGGCCAGTGAACAGCTGGAGAGAAGGCCAGAACCTATACGTGCAGGTTCCCAAGCACCAGGCTCTCCCCTTGTCACCTTTGATGCTGACAAGCAGGGATCGTCAGCTCTCTGAATCTTAGAGATAAGAAAACCAAGGCTCAGAGAGACGAACACGCTCAGGGTGAGCTCGGGGGCAGGTGCTCAGACTCAAGTGCGTCTCAGTCTGGAGGATTCTCTCCCTGTCGTGCCTGGTGGTGCGACCGGCGGATCCCACGGCACAGGTTCCCAGGGGAAAGGGTTTTGTTTTCCGGCTCTCCTTCAGGGCCAAACCATACTTTATTGCGTTTTCCACTCACTAAACTTGACTGCTGGTCAGTGCCTGGCACATGGAGGTGAGTAATGGGTGAGGAGAGGAAGAAAGGGAGGGAGGGAACAAAGCAAAGGACGAGGGGAAGGCTGGACCGTACCTCGGCCCCTGAAGGGGAACGGGGGCCCCCGGGACTTTGGGGCTCAGTCCCAGCCCCCATCTCTGCCTCTCCCATCGCAGGGCTGATCCGGTCCCGAGTCCGCGGGGCAGATGTGGCAGCGGCTGCTGTCCTCACGTTTCTCGACAGCCACTGCGAGGTGAACACCGAGTGGCTGCAGCCTATGCTGCAGCGGGTGAAGGAGGTGAGCCGCCCGTCCCTGGGCAAGCGGGCGGCCTTCGGGGCTCGCTCCAGGCTTCCGGTGTGAGGCAGGAGAGACACGGCGTGGAGCCGGGCTGGAGGCCAAGGAAGCCTCAGTGATCTGCTCGGGGGTCTGCCTGAGCTCTCTGGTCTGGAAGCCGGGACAGTTGTCTGTGTCCACGGGTTGCTGTGAGGACTGCTGTGAAAGCTCCCACTGCACACGGGTTGGTTTTGATCCTGGGAGAGGCAGGACCCGTGCCGGGGAGCTGCAGCCAGGCTGGGAGCCCTACAAGGAGGCAGGAGGGAGAGCCTGCAGTGTGGGGGGCTCCTGAGCGTCCCTGCTGCTCCCCAGAATGAGAGGATGTGGACAGATGGCAAGAAAGGCTGAAGGGGTGCAACTTAACCAGAAAGAGGCGTATGCAGGGTACTAACCATTGTTACCCTTCTATTATCTTGTTTTGAATTTTTTTTTTCCTCTTAAAGAAAAAATAGGCTGAGGTGGTACAACTTAACCAAAAAGAGACAAACAGCCCAACTTTAAAAGTGAGCAAAGCACTTGAATAGGCATTTCTTCAAGGAAGTATTTAACTGTGACCATGATCAATATTATTGATCACCCAGGAAATGACACTCTGAAGCATAGTGAATGACACTTCACACTTTCTAGGATGGCCACATTAAAATGATGGACAATAGCAATTACTGGCAAGGATGTGGATGAGTAAAACCCTGCACGTGAAAATGTAAAATAGCCACCTTGGAAAACAGCCTGGCACTTCCTCAAAAGTTTACGTAGAATTACCATCTGACCCAACACTTCCATGGCTAGGTGTGTACCCAAGAGAAGTAAACACCAAAACTACACCCACACAAGAAGTTGCACCCATGTATTCCGAGAGATGCTATTTGGAACAGCCAAAAGGTAGAAATGTCTATCAGCTGATGAACGGATAAATGAATATGGTATATCCATACAATGGAATATTACTCAGCCATACAAACAAAGCGCTGATGTGTATCACAGTATGAATGAACTTTGAAAAACTTAGAGGAAGTAAAAGCCAATCGCAAAAGGCCATATGTCATATGAGTCCATTTATAGGAAATGCTCAGAATAGTAAATCCACAGCAATAGATTTTGGTGGGGTGATGAAAATGTGAACTAGCGAGCGGTGATGGTAACCTTGTGAACATACTAAAGGCTGCCACGCTGTGCACTTGAGATAGTGAGATCTATAGTGTGTGAATCCTCTCTCAGCACAAAAGCGTCTCAGACAGAAGCAGCAAGGCCCCCCCACAGAGCATCAAAAAGTCAGCTCTCCTTCCCGTCCTGTTGTCCTGGGGATGGAGGAACTGCAGAGTAGGCCTAGCTGCAGCCCTAATTACAGACGAGAGGGTTTTGAGGGTGAAAGGACGGTGGTGGAGGAGCGGAGAGGAGGATGAGGCTACCCCGTGCCCCTCATAGGGGGCGGGGAAGTGTGACTCAGTTTAAACTCAGTTAAAAATCCACCACCACTGCAGCATAGTTTACCCTATGCACTGAACAACATTTCAAGTTGGACTTGTATTCCAAGAGGTGCCAAAGTGGCCAGTCTGGCCTCGAGGGCAATGTGGCATGACAGCAGAGGCCCCCCACCCACCTTATCCAGGGACGATAGGGCCCCTGCCTGCAAGCTACTGGTGAACCAGTTGGGAAGACAGCCCAAGCACGTACAAAGGTAGACAGCGCACAGCACAGCTGCTCAAGCCAGCAGCACGAGAACCACCTCAGGCAGCAGAGGAGTCCCCGTCCCGGGCATTGTCTAGACTGTGATTATGAGAGCAGCTTAAAAAAAACAAAGGTACCCTTCTGCCTGCAGCATCAGCAAAGGCTTCACAAGATGAGATCCCTGCAGGGCTCAACATGGTAGGAGGAGAAGAGGCTGGGGCTGTCCTGTACCTGGGGACTCGGGTGGGGCCGGCCAGAGCCTGACACAGGTCTGGGTGACCCCTGGGACACCCAGCAGGAAGCACTGGCCGCTGTGCATTCTTCCAGAGAGACGTCCCCAGAGCACATGGCTGAGCCTTTTCTTGCAGAGAATCCCTGGCCTCACGCCATTGTGCACCTCCTCTCCTAGGACCACACGCGTGTGGTGAGCCCCATCATCGATGTCATCAGTCTGGATAACTTTGCCTACCTGGCAGCCTCCGCTGACCTTCGAGGAGGTGGGTCCTTCTCCCAGGGGAGGGGCTCTGGGCCTGAAAAGAAGCAGACTGGGGGCAGGTAAAAGCCCTGGCTCTGTGCGGTGCTCTTCCTGGCTGTGCCGGAGCGAGACACTTCCCTCCCCCAACCCTCCCTTCCAAAGATAACATGAAAGAAGCCCTGGAGGATCCCTGGTTTTGAAGGACAGCAGAGTCAGGCCAGTCCCCATCTTTCCCTCCCCTGACACTAGCAACAGTTTTCCCAGATGCTGCCAGGCCAGGGTCCACGGCCACAGTCTTGGCACAAGGCCCTCTGGCAGCTGTCTCTAGCGTGGGGCAGGGCAGCCTTTGGCTGTGCACAGATTCCTGGGATGCTCACCCCGGAGGTGTCAAGACCTCGCTGTGTGACACAGCGGCTGTTAGGCTGTGAAGCACCTTTGGCCAGTGAGCTCTTGCAGTGTGGCTTGTGGTCAAGCGACCAGCTGGAGTTGAGATGTGCTATATTTATAAAAAAAACGCACTGCAACCTTTGGAGTTTCCAAGACTTAATGTGAAAGAATATAAAATATCTCATTAGTAATTTTATCGATGCCATGTTGAAATATGATTGAGATGTACTGCATGGAGTATATTCTATTCAAATTGGCTGCATATGGTTTTTTTCTGACTTGTAGAACACCGGAAGTGGCGCGTGTGGTTTAGGTCTGTGGCTCGCCTGCTCTATCTTCTGGACCATTCTCAACTTGGCAGTGATGTGCTGTTTGCTCATCACAGCAGACGTGGACTACATTTGACTATTGATATTTAAATTAACTAAAATGAAATAAGATGTGCAGTTAGATCAGTAGTTGTACCAGCCGCAGTTCAAGCGCTCACCAGCCATGTGAGGTTTTACTACCACATTACTACAGGAGCAGATCCCCCTGGATGCCACAGAGAGAGATTTCTATCCTTGCAGGAAGTTCTGCTGGACACTGCTCCTCTAGAGACTGGCCAGGAGCTACTGGGCCCTACAGGATTTCCTGTTCAGGGCCTGGCTCCTAATAAATGGATCAGCCATTAATCAGATCTTCAGCTTGGGTGGGATTCTGGGGGAAGCCAAGTGTTTCCTCTTTGGGGAATCACCTCAGGGCCTTTGCACTTGCGGCGGCTCCTGCCTAGAAATCTCTTTCCACAGATATTCTTGTGGAGCCACCCTTTAATCTGGTCTATATTGAAACATTACCTTTTTAGCGAGCCTTTCCCAACTCTCCTTACTAGAATAGCATCCACTCCTATAGTCTCTTTTTAATCACTTTTCATCTCCACTGAAGTACTGTGCAGGCATGTGTTTATCTGTGTAGTTTTTCTTGTGGTGGGTGGTGAGCCCCAGGAGGCGGGGGTTGACTCATTCCGGAGGACGGAGTGACAGCCCGTGGAGCCCAAGGCCCTCTGGGATCCAGCTGCGATCCACCTAGAAGGTAGAATGAGGGGGACAACAGCCCCAGCAGACTCTGCCCTGCGCCCTGCCCTCACCCTGCCCTGTCCCTTAGGATTCGACTGGAGCCTGCACTTCAAGTGGGAGCAGATTCCCCTGGAGCAGAAGATGACCCGCACAGACCCCACCAGGCCCATCAGGTCAGGGCTGCCGCGGGCTGGGGAGCCCCTTCCTTCCGGGGTCGGGAGCCCGCGAGGCCCGTGGGAGGCAGGCTCAGCTGCGGGGATCCTGAGCGCTCAGTCTGCTTAGTCCGTGCTCAGACCCCGGCCTGCAGGGGCGGGGAGGGAAGAGGGCTGGGATCCATCAAGAGGGAGCCTCGAGCTGGCCAGACATCCTGCCCCGCGACCCTGCAAGCAGGGACTGGGGACAAACGGCCTCGGGCCTTAGCCTCTCCTCTCCCCAGGACCCCTGTCATAGCTGGAGGAATCTTCGTGATCGACAAGGCCTGGTTTAACCACCTGGGGAAGTACGACGCCCAGATGGACATCTGGGGAGGAGAGAACTTCGGTGAGTGGGGGAGGGACAGTCAACACGGCCGCAGTAGTGGTCGTACGACTGCGCATGCTCTCTGCAGGCGATCTGAGGACGTCCCACAGGTTACGTCATTTAGTCCTGGCAAGGGCACTGACTGCGCACGCTCTCTGCGGGGGCTCTGAGGACGTCCCACAGGTTACGTCATTTAGACCTCACAAGACCCTTGTGAAGCGAATCCTGCCTACATTTTCCCAACTAAAACCCGAGGCACAAGCTGGGTGTGGCTTTGCACACTGCAATCCCAGCACTTTGGGAGGCTGAGGCAGGAGGATTGCAAGTTCAAGTCCCACCTGGGCAACTTGGTGAGGCCCTGTCTTAAAATGTTAAAAAAAACATTAAAAGGGCTAGGGTTGTAGTTTAGCCTGGGTACAATCCCCAATACCAGAAAGAAGAAAGAAAGAAAGAAAGAAAGAAAGAAAGAAAGAAAGAAAGAAAGAAAGAAAGAAAGAAAGAAAAAGAAAGAAAGAAAAGAAAGAAAAAAAGAAAGAACAAAAAGAAAACATTTTAACCAGAGTCACATCACTATAGCTAGACAACAAAAAAGCTTAGGTGTTTAGAGGGAGCCTGTGGCCACATGGCTAGAAGTGCCCGAAGAACACATAGACCGAATGTGGACCACAGCTGCTCCTCCCCAGAAGGGCTGCGGGTGGTGCGCAGTGGCTGTGGGGTCGGAGGCCAGGTGCCAGCCCTTCGTCCTCCAAGCTGTTTGGTTCTGGGCAAGTTAAAGTCTCCCTGGACCCCAATTTCCCCCGGAGGCTGCTGTGGCTAGTAAATGAGGTGATGATAAAACGCGTCCCCAGGATGGGCGGCCATCCTCGCTGAGACCATAGGGACACCCCATGCCCAGCAGGCCCGCAGGCGGCCTGGCCCTCCCGGAAGAGCAGAGGAGCCAGCAGGGGTAAAACGTTCACTGGGGAGCTTGGTTCAGTGCCCCCCACCGCTGCCTGGCTGGGTGCTGGGGCTGCAGAGTGCTGTCAGGGTCACCGGGCCAGCATAGGTGGCCTGGGTGGTGGCCTCGGGTGAAGTGGTCAATTCTTATGAACCTCAGTTTCTTCCTTGGAGAAGCAGGAGGGGAAAGGTGCTCTCCCCCGAACAGAAAGGCTGAAACCCAGCCTGCTTGGCACCCACTAGAGAGGTGGACATAGGTGTGGATTTCCTCCCCGGGGTGACTTATTCTCGGAAAAAATTTCCAGGCAGGCACTGGAGGAGTGAATTCTGGGAACTGGGGCTGCAGTGACCCATCTCTCCTGACCTCCTTTCCTGTTTGGGGCCTAAGTGACCTGTGTTGTGTCCTGGGCCTCGGCCCGAAGGCAGCCTTGGCAAAGCCGGTTTCCTGCCAGGACTTTGACAGCTGTGAAAGGACCAGGCTCTCTTGCCTCCAGAGGCCTCCTTCTCTCTCCATTTTTTGGGGCTGGGGCTGACAGAGTAGCAGTAAATGATCAAATAGCTGCTTCAGACTCTGCCTGAGGCACGGGCTCCGTGGCTGGGGAGCTTGAAAGGTGGCCTGCAGAGTCCTTCTGGTGAGGGCTGTGTCTCTGAGAGAAAATTCAAAGGACTGTCTGGGCCGGCTGCGGCGCTCAGCTGTTCCGCTGCCAGGGCTGATTTGTGGCCGGGAATCTCTTCTCCCTGAGCCTTTCATGTCCCTCTTGAAGGAAGGGAGATGCCCAAACTGGCTGTGTTCCGGCGGCCCCCAAACTCAGGAGCCCTGGGGCACCTCAAGTTGGGCCTGGTGGATGTGAGACCATTGGGATTCTCCTTAGAGGTCTCTTTGTTTTGATTTGATTTGATTTATTTAGGCAGTGCTGGGGCTGGAATCCAGTGCCTTGCGCATGCTCTGGCATTAAACTCTGGACCCCATCCCAGGGAACCCATTTGAAACATAGATGGGTCATGTCTCTTCCTGGCTGAAACCCCGCAAGGGCTGCCATGCTATTTGAGGCAATCTCTGAAGTCCCCACCCCGGCCACCAGGTCTACACCAGTAGGGCTTCTTCCCCAGCATACCCTAGGAACTGCATCTCCGTCTCCTGTCCTTCTTGCCCTGCCTCGATTTCCCCGGCCCCAGGCCTCCTTGCTGTGCCTTGAACCTGCTGTCACCCTCTCCCCGCTGGGAATGCACCAGGCCCTTGCTGGTCCCCGCCTGGAGAGCTCCTTGCTTGACAGCCGCTGACTCCCTCGGTTGCCTGTGTCAGGGCTTAGCTCAAATCAGCCTCGTAGGAAACGTCATTCCCCCAGCTCCACCTGCTCTCAGGCTTAATTTTCTCCATTGCTCTTATCACCCTCTGATGCTATGTATGTGACACATCTTCTCACACGCTGGCTTTTTGTTTCTTTACTGAGTTCCTGTCTCTCCAGTATACGAGCGTCTAAGGGCATCTAAAACAGCGTGTGACATAAAACAAGTCACCGAATGCCCTGAGGAATCTGACTCAAACACTCAGCTTGCTGGACAGAGTGTACATTTTGTGTTGCGTTTCCGGAATGAATAGTTGGATGGCTTTGGTGAGGTTATCTAACATCTGTGAGCCTCACCGGCCTTATGAAAAGCAACGTGAAGATAAAGGCAGGCACTGTGACATGCCCCTGTGCATAGTCCCAGCGCTCAGCAGGCTGAGACAGGAAAATCAGTGGAGTCTGGGAGTTCAAGGGCCTCAGTAACATAGTGAGACCCTGTCTCAAATAGGGCATGGGGGTGTTATTCTGACTTCACAGGATTGCAGTGAGAGTTAGAGAGTGGATAAGGAGCATGGCACATAGCAGTGCTCAGGAAATAGATGGTTACTGCTGTTGTCGCTGCTGCTGCTGACAGTAATGTCAACCCGATGCGTGTGGATGGTATGCTCAGTGGGAGGAGCTGACTTAACTAGTTCAACGCTGGTCTGGCAGAAGTGGAACCAGAATGCAGATCTTGTGCCCCCTTGCTGTGTCCCCAGTTTCAAATATTGGTTGCTAAGGCGAGCTGCAGAGTCTCCCCAGGAGAGGGCTGGGTGCCTGGCAGGTTACGTTAGGCCCAAGCCTGTGTGTGGACCCAGGTATGGGAAGCAGCTGAGCTGCATCTGGACACCGCCGGGTGCACCCTGGCTGGCCAGAAGAGGGCGGTAGTCCTGTTCCCTCCTTGCTCTTCACCTGCTGGGCTGCCTAAGGCCAGGGTCTGCAGCCCTCCTTGAGGTCAGCTGTGGAGTGGAAGAGCGACCAAGGCTGGAACTCATGAGAGAACTGTCTTCCTCTCGAATCGTGGATTTTTTGGGACAGGAAGGAGTGTTTAAACATCACAGGTGGGTGGGTGTGGTGGCACATGCCTTAGCACTCGGGAGGCTGAGGCAGGAGGGTTGCCGTGAGTTGGAGGCCAGCCTAGGCTACAAAATGAATTCAAAGTTAGCCTGAACTACATAGCGAGACCCCGTCTCAAAAGGAAAAAAAAAAAAAAAAAAGAAAATCGCAGGTGTCCAACTCTAGGGTAGATATGAAGGAAAGCAGGGAGCTAGAAGAGATTATATGAGGCTCCACCAGCTACCGAGGTGGTGGTGGCCATAAAGAGGGGGTGGAGAGCGGAACAGAGAGGGCGCTTCGCGACACCCCCTTCTGGAAAGCACAGTACGCTCTTTTTGCGGCTCCCCACACGACTCCCCAGCCGAGCTCCCTCGGTCATCGCAGAAGCCAGCACCCTCAGGGGTCCGCCAGCACCCTCAGGAGGAAGGGTGTCGGGACAGCCAGCGACAGCCTGGACCCGGAGCCCGTCTGGGCCCAGCAGCCAGCCTGGGGACAGGCGGAGAACCGCAGCAGGGGCAGCGTGTGGGCGGCGGGCGGCGTTTCCCCTCCTCGCAGGTGCGCGGGGCTCCCGGGCGCGGGCTGCAAATGCTCCTGCCGCGTTCGGTGCGGTTCCCCTGGCGCTCAGAGTCCTGGTTCCTTCACAGCCTGTCCCACTGCTGCCCTGGGGCTCGGCCACGAGTGTGTGCGGGTGTGCACATGCGTGCGTGGGATGAGCCTGTGCGAGGGTGGGAGAGCCCGTCTCATCAGCCCCAGGAGCTCCGACTCCAGCAAGTACCTCCCGTGAGACCCCAGAGAGGGAGGCCGGCCCCTCCTACCCTCTCTAAGGGGGCTTGTCCAGCGGCCCCTTCCCCTCCTGACGCTGCGGTCTCCTTCAGAGCTCTCCTTCAGGGTGTGGATGTGCGGAGGGAGTCTGGAAATCGTCCCTTGCAGCAGGGTGGGCCATGTCTTCAGGAAGCGACACCCCTACAACTTCCCGGAGGGCAATGCCCTCACCTACATCAGGTAGGTCCCCGTGGGAGTAGCCCTGGAGTGCGAGGAGGACAGCCCGGCCCCAGACCCCACCCTGCCACTTGCCATGTGACTTCGGGCTGCCTCCCTGGCTCACGGGCCTCAGTTTCCCTGTTTCTCCCTCCAAGGTCTGACATTCTCGGATTCCCGGTACTTTGAGGGATGAAAGGACGAAGTTGGGCGCATTGTTGCAGGCTGCCTCTTGACCCCCGCATTGCCCGTGAAAGTCTTGGGAAGCCTCCCCAGTGACTGACTGAGTGACCCCCTCCCCCTAGCAGGCCCCAGGCGCTAGTCCCAGGTGTAGTGTCCCGACCTTGACCTGGACATGCATCTGTCCATTTGTGTCCCAGCCACAGGGCGCACTTGGTCTCACCAGAGAGTGGGCGGTCCTGGGAGCCCTACAGTCCTGATGGCGGTGGCGGGGGGCCCGGGGAGCACCCTGTCCTAAGAGTGATTCTCCATCTCACCCTAGCTTCTCCCTGCGCGGTTTGGAGCAGCGGTTTCCCAAGTGGCTAAATCAGTGGGCTGGGGGTTTGTTCCCCCCACCCCCTTTTTGTTTTTATAATCATATATATATATATATATATATATATATTTCCTGCAGAAAACTCAAGCAATACCAAGATAAATTAGACATATCTATATTATGTATTCACTTTTTTATAGTGTTACAGAGAAAAAAGTGAGAGACCTTTTTACCCATTCTTCTATGCATAGTCCACTTGTCTCAGCAGAACTGACTGTTCTTAATAGTGGCTGACTTGTCATTTCAGGCTTTTAAACAGAACTAAGCATGTTATTAGACCGCTGGCCTAACCTTTCGAGCCTTTAAATGCATTTTCATAAGCACAGTTCAGGCGCAGAGAAACACCCTCTGCCATGCGTGTGTGCCCGCAGGTGGTGCTGTGAACCCCCTCAGCGACCCGCTCTTTCACGCCCATCTGTGCCACACACATCATCTGTGTCCGCACGGACTCACCACAGCCCTTCTGTTCAGGGTAGCCTCCTCCTCCATCTGTGGACACACTTACTCTCCTCCTGAAGGGCATTGGATGGTCACCGATATTCTGCTAAACAAATATTCACTCCCTGTCCTTTTTGCCCACACGCAGGTATTTCCGCAGAATAGATTCCTTCGAGTGGAGAGTCAGAGAGTAGCCATAGCTACAAAGCTGCCGGGTATTGGCAGAGTGTCCTCCAAAAAGACTGTGCTAATTTATACCGCTGCAACCAGTACCGTTTTGCATGTTCTCCTGCGATTCCCATCTGAGCTACACAGAGCTCCGCTTTTTTCTTAAATATATATTTTTAATGGACGAAAGTTTTATAAGAGCTGAGCTTGACCCTAACCTTCACACTGTCGTCTCTCTGTGACCTTTCTTTGCTCCTGCCTCCCCTTGTAGGAATACCAAGCGCACTGCGGAGGTGTGGATGGATGAGTACAAGCAATATTACTATGAGGCCCGGCCCTCCGCCATCGGGAAGGCCTTCGGCAGGTGGGCCCCGCCTCCCGTTCGCCTCCCTCCACCCACCTTAGCACAGCCCCAAAATACAAAGCATTGTGCTCACAGGAGCCGCTCAAAATCTCCCTAACATCTGAGACTCGTTCCCGTGGGCTCTGGTAGCCAGAGAGGGCTCCCCGGGGGGCACACACTTCAATGGCGTGTGAGAGCCTCGCCATGCCAAGCTGCCCGCAGGAAGAGGGCGCCTGTGGGGGTGTTCAGGAAGGGGCTGCCTGCAAAAGGCATTTTGGGTTTCACCTCCGCCCCCGTTCAAAATTGTCACCCGTCAGCCTATTTTCTTGTCGGGGACGGTTAGGACTCTAGTGAAGCATTTTCAAAATGCAGATGGGTTGTGAAATCAATTTAGTGAGTCGTGACCAGCATTATAAAAGAGGGGAAGAAAAACACCATAGATTAGATTAGCACAGAACAAAATAGGAAATCAGAGTTGAGGGCAACGAAGGGTCAGTACTGTTTTACGAAACTCATTTCTGGTGTGTGCGCGTGTGTGCGTGTGCGCGCACATTTGCACATGGGAACACCACACCACGTGTAAGATCTCCTTACCTCCTCCTTAAGCAGGACGTCAGGAGAGTTTGAAAACATTGTTAATGATTCTCTGTGAATGAATCATCTTCGCTGTATTTATTTATAGCTATCCCTTTAAAAAAAGTTGTGTCATTAAATATTTGTTTTACTGAGGACCGACCCTGGCTAAGCACTTCGCATCCCCTTAAATTCACTGGATTTTCACATACGCTTTCTGAGGTGAGGAGTCGTGTCCTGGCGCACTGTAGAAGCAGCTGAGACTCAGGCAGGAGGAGGCTGAGGGCCTGGGCCGTGGCCGTCGTGCTTGGCCTCTCTGAGGAAGGTGAGGACACCGAGCAGCGGTGTCCCCCGCCAGATGGTTCCTCTTGCCCCAAGCGCCTCAGAGATGCTTCAGGCATGCGCTTCTTTTTGTTCGACCCTTTCTCCTCAGCGGGAAGGCAGGAAGGGAAAATTTGTAGTTCGAGAATTCTCTGGGAAAATAAGGACCAGTTGGTGTGAGAACTGAGGTCTCCGAGAACGAGAAGCCCAGGGTCCCCTGTGGGCTGAGCTCCTCGCAAAAGTGAGCTCAGAGCAGGATTTGAGCAGAGGAGAGGGAGACCGGGAGGCCCGAAGTGACCTGTGGGTCTGAGGATGGCACGGGCCGGTGGCCAAGGCTGGCCGGGGCAGGGCTGCGTGGCTCCTGGCCTGCGGGAAGAGGGAGCCCTCCTGGGGCCTGGGGGGGGCTCTGTGTGGTCCTCACCCCACTCCAGGGCCTCCTCCCCACACCCCGGCCTCATCTCCTCCCTCAGCGTGGCCACGAGGATCGAGCAGAGGAAGAAGATGGACTGCAAGTCCTTCCGCTGGTACCTGGAGAACGTGTACCCCGAGCTCACGTGAGTGCGCCCCAGCTCCTGCGCCGCCCCCCACAGCCTGGCTCCTGTCTCTGCCTGAGGGCGTGGGGACCTGGCAGGTGTTACCAGGAGTCATCAGTTAGGTGCGACAGGAAGCGCATTCCTAAGACCCGCTCTTGGACCTGGAAATGGATACCGCCGCCTCGGGAAACACTGCATTAATGCAGCAAAGGCGGCAGAAACCTCCCTCACCCTTGACCCGATTCTCCCGCTCTGGCAGTTCATCCTGAGGAGAGAAAGCAGCCAGGGCAAAAAGCTGCCGGCAGGCAGACTCTGCAGGCTCATCTGCTGCTGGGGAAAAGGAGAAACAGCTAACAATAGGGGCCGGGCGCAGAGAACCCCGGTTTGATCAAGCATCATCCCTTAATATTACAGTCGCAGAGACGGTGAGGGACACAGGGAACGTCTGTTCTCGAAAATGGGGGCACGAAGCACAGTAGGGTGTGCCCTGGGCCTGTGGTCCCCGGGAACAGGACCGTGTGGCCGGCTGGCCAGGCTTCCTCCTTCCGAAGTCCTCTCTGGTGTCGTGGTCCAGCCGTGGGGTTCGTTCCCTCACCTTCTTCAGATCTTGACCCGTCTCCTGTCCCCAGGGACATTCTCCCTGAATACTTAGCAGCAGCACCCCAAACCTCGCATTTAGATTTTCCTCCATCGGCCTTCCTGGCATCCAGCCTGTATCTGACCAGTTAAATCTGTTGTCACCTCCCTCCCACACTTGCCTATAAGCCCCATGAGGGCCGAAGCTTTGATCTGTTTTGATCATTTCATTATTTCCAGCATCTACAGTAATGCTTGTCACAAAAGAAGTACTTAAGAAACATTTTTGGCTGAATAAATGTCAAGGTCTGCAGGCCTCAAGAATGCCTAAAAAAAAAAAAAAAAAAATGCCTGATGGTAGCATTCTCTATCTATGGCTTGTCCTGCTGCTGCCAGCTCCATCCCCTGGAACACTGGGGAACTCCACCCCTCAGAGCCCACGTGTCTCTGAAGGAAGCAAATCTTTACTTTTTTTTTGGTACCGGAATCGAACTCAGGACCTCGCTCTTGCCAGGTGAAATCTTTACTTTTAAAAGTACATTACAGCCGGGTGTGGTGGCGCACGCCTGTGATCCCAGCCCTCAGGAGGCTGAGACAGGAGGATCTTTTCAAGTTCAAGACCAGCCTGGGCTACAAAGTGAGCTCAAGGTCAGCCTGAACTGCATAGCGAGACCCTGTCTCAAAAAGACCAAAAAAAAAATAAAAATAAAGAAAAAGTACATTAGATTTCTAGAAAGCAGCCACAGCCAGGTTGTAGCCAAGCCCCGGGAATGTGCTGGATGATAAAACCAGATAAAATCACCCGATGTTCCAAATACGCGTGCCTCGGGAGTAACGAGACGGAGCTGAGCCTGCAGCCTTTCCAAGAAATTCCAAGACGCTATGAGCAACAGCAGCGGCCTTGGGAGAAAGCTGGCAGCCTGGCCAGCTCCAGCTCCCCAGACGACAGCTGTGAAGGGAAGTACACTAAATTCCAAAATGTAAGGAGTGAACAGCTTCTTGGAGTGACCCCTTTTGAGAGAACTGAGCCCTTGCGCATGCGTCACTTCTGAAGCGCAGAGGCGCAAGGAGCTGTCATTTCTTACAGCGTTTGGATGGAGACTGTAGACCCTGCACCTCGGGCCAGGAGCTGGGAGGCTGGAACTTGAGCTCAGTGAGGCCTGATCTTCCTATCTTTTCAGGAGAGGCTAGATTCACGTTACTGTATGTTACCTTAGAATTTAAATGGGAGTGTTGCCTAGAATCCCAGTACTCCGGAAGGCTGAGGCAGGAAGCGCGCAAGATATTCTTTCCCATAGTTATTTGGAATGGTCCAAGGCTTTCCTACCTTGTGGATGAATCAGAATTGACTTATCCCATCCCCTGTTGTTGGATAACTATTCCAGTGTTTCCAGTGTCAGCCACTCTGAAATAAATATCTTTTTTAAGATATAGTTATTTCCATAGGGTAAGTTCCTTGAAGTGGGATTGTTAGGTCAAAGGCGTGCACATTTTAAAGGACATTGATCCTAATTTCACACTGCTTTCCCAGAGAGCTGGATGCATTTACATTCTCGCTGGTGGGCTATGAGCATATCCAGTCTGACAGTTATTACCACCTCTGGGCATTGTCACTAAAAAACACACGTGCATGTGTGTACGTGTGTTCTCAAATATATACGGTAAACAAATATGGGTGATTCTCTAACATATATTTGTTTAACTACAGAGAGACTGAGCACCTTTTCTGTTTGTGTATTTCAAGTTGGCTTCTTCAAACAATGGGCTCCGCGTCATTTTGAGATCTGGTCATGAGCCAGATTTGGGACCCATCCTCTCCCCAGGCTTTGTCTTCGGGACTGAGGAGCCCCTTGTTGGGCCCAAGCTCTCCCTTCCAGTTCCTCTGGGTCTCCAGCCTGGCCTCTGGGTGGCCCTGGGCCTCTTGGAAGAACCTTCTGGAAGCTGAGGCCTGGTCTTCCTAGAGGCTGCTCCTGCCCACCCCCACCCTCATCCCCGCTGGGCCTGCGGATTGCAGAGGCCTTGGTGCCCGGGGCCTGTGCTCCGGCAGAGGACATGGGTAAGCAGCGAGGCCCCAGCCTGATGGCTATCTTTTCTCTCAGGGTCCCCGTGAAGGAAGTGCTCCCTGGCATCATTAAGCAGGGAGTTAACTGCTTAGAATCCCAGGGCCAGGACACAGCTGGTGACTTCCTGCTTGGAATGGGGATCTGCAGGGGCTCTGCTAAGAGCCCCCCACCAGCCCAGGTAAGCTGCTGAGGGCCCATGAGTCAGGACTGGGGGCCGGAGGGGCGCCGGGGCACTGGTCAGGAGGGCGCTTCGGTCTGCCCCTTCCGTCCACCCCCTCCTCAGCCTCTTTCCCAGCGGCCCTCGCGCTCTGTGATGTGTGCACCGCACACTTTCCCCACGCACTTCCTCCCATTCACCCAGCCAGTGACCAGTTCTCCCCGGGCGCAGCTGTGGTCGGTTCATGTGATGGGCAGCAGCCTTCAGGAACCGGTGCACATGAGCAGGCACATGAGCGCCACCCCTGTCGACACCGGAGCCAGCCGTTCCCGGGCTTCCCTGGTCCCATGTCCTGTTATCTTCTCCTGTCCCCAGTGTCCCTTGACATCTCTTTGATTGCCCTCTGGTTGGCTCCAGCTAAGCTTCCCCACCTCAGTATTTGATTATACACACTTTCAAGCTAAAGAAAGAAAAAAAAAAAAAAAAAAAAACTGGGTGTGGTGCATGCCTGTAGTCCCAGCTCTCTGGGAGGCTGAGGCAGAAGGATCTCAAGTTTGAGCGTAGCCTGGGCAACTTAGTAATGCCCTGTCTCAAAATAAAAAAGGGCTGGGGATGTAGTTCCGTATGAAGGCTCTCAGTTCAATCTCCAGTATGGAAAAAAAAAAAAGAAAAGAGAAACTGAAAGATGTGTACAGTGAATACCCATATACCTTCCCCTTGCTTCTATAATTGTTTGTGGAAAATTCTACTACTTTTGTAGAATACAGCATACCTGCTTTATCACCTGTCTTCCCACCTGTCCATGCAGAGCTGTCCTTTCCTTGTCTTGCAGGCTTGGCTGTTCAGTGACCATCTCATCCACCAGCAAGGCAAGTGCCTGGCCACCGCCTCCACCTCCGGGTCCTCTCCCGGGTCCCCCGTTGTCCTGCAGGTGTGCAACTCAAAAGAAGGCAAACAGGTGAGCTCCACCCCAGGGCACAGGTGGTCTGCAGCCCCAGGGGGACATGCAGCTGGTGGTGTCAGACTGTGACGGGGAAGCCCAGCTTTAGACGGGCAGTCTCTGATAAACCCTCCAGAGCGAGGATTGGCAGGACCTCAGGCAACACCCGGGCCTACTATTTCACTCGGGAAGAATACCTCTTTAGGTAAGTATTTCCTTTGCAACAGTCCTGCCCGTCTGAGACAGGAGCAGTTTGTCTTGTGAACGCTGCTTCCTTAGGCCCTGACAGCCACGCAGTTTAAATAAACGGTAGCAGGGGTACTGCTGCTCGTGCCGGGGCTGTCACTTATCCTCCCCGCCTCCCAGGGGCTCCGGGTACCAGCCCAGCCTTGCAGGTGAGTAAACCAGGTCTTGTTGCCACACAGCTGGGGAGGGGTGGCCCTGGGGTGATACTCAGTCTGGACGATATCTCGGGGTGCCCAGTCGGTGTCTCTTGGCTGCTGGCTGCCTGGGGAGGCTGAGGGCCAGATGTCGTGATGTCCCAGCTGATGTGCCTGGCCCCCAGGCTGGTGCATCTGTCCCCACCCTCACCCCCTTTCTCCGAGCCCTGGAGACAGGTCAGGGTGGCCTGTACGAGAGAAATGGGCTTGGAGAGACAAAGCCACCTGCTCAGGACACTCAGCAGCCAGTGACAAGGGCTCCCTGCTCCCGAGCTGAGGCTGCTCCAGCCCTTGCCTTGCCAGCTTCTGCCAGCGCTCCCAGTGCCTGACTCTGGCCATCTATGCTGGCCTGCAGGGGTCTCCTTCCACCCGTCTCTTTCCTCTCCTCTTTTCTTCTCCACTCCCTTCCCCATGTCTCCAGCCATTTAAAACAATTTTTAGTTTGAGGTAAGGTCAACTAAGTTGCCCAGGCTGGACTCAAACTTGGGATCCTCCTGCCTCAGCCTGACAAGTAGCTGGGATTATAGACATGCGCCACCACTCCTGGCTCTCCCACTCCTTTTCTGTCTGCCTAGGTCACCTCTTTCTTTAGGGATGACTGGAAGTTTGCTATCCCCTTCAAGGTCCCTTTCCTGTAGCCGAGAGTTGTGTGTGTGTGTGTGTGTGTGTGTATGTGTGTGTGTGCCGGGGGCGCTGCTCTGTAGCCTCCTTGCTGGATGCAGCAGAAGTGCTTCTCGATGGGGGCGGGGTTGCATCTTGTCCTTCCCCGTAGTGAGCTGGCACAATCTGCCCTTCTGGAGCTCCCTGAGGGGAAGCTCTGAGCCCATGCCACCTGCTCTATGTGGAGGCCAGAGGAAGGAAGTATCTGCCGGGGAAGCCTCCCCTCAAATACCTCCCTGGCTGAAGCACCCACTTTCCCATCTGTGCTGCGCTGGCCGGGCTTGTAGGACTCTCCTGCCCCGTTCATGCTGCTCCTGCCAGTCCTGCCAGGCCTCTAGGTGCCTGGGCCTCTCCTCTCCTGGAGGACAGGCTGAGCAGCTCTCCCTCGACCAGCTTCTGGACTCTGGCCAGCTGGGGTTCATGCACCTGAGAGGCTCCTGCGCCCTAGACCAGGTGTGACGGAGGTGGCAGGTCCCAGCTCAGACTTTCCCCGCACCCCCCATCCCACCCTCCTGGCTTATAAAAGGAACCTGCAGAGAATAGAGAGCACGTGGACTGGCAGGGCTGTGATGCGATGTCTTATCTCTAGGCAGAGGCCTGGGGAGGGCGAGAGGCCCTCGGATGGCCGGGTGCACAGTAGGTGGCCCTCAGAGTCCTGCTGTTTGGGGAGCACTGCCTAGTGTCTGGGTGATTCATTCCTTCAACATGAAACAAAAATGCACTGGGTGTCTCCCCTGGGTGACAGAATGTACAGATCACGCTGGCCACAAGGATGAAAGAAAGACATGAACTTGTCGCCCAAGTCACTTACCTGGCGGGGTGGGGGCCGCTACATTACAGGTGGCTCGACGCCAAGGTGGCACTAAGCCTGCGCTGCAGCCCGGGTGTGGGCCCTGCCTGCTACCCGGATGTAGGGTCAGCAGGACCTCTTGGGGAAAGGGTAACCACACTGTCCCCACCTGTCAGGCCTGGGGGAGAAAGGCACCCAGAAAGGAAGGCACGATGGGGAACTTGAGTACTCCCAGCATCCCGCAGGACGGACATGTCTACAAAGATGGCGGCTGGTCCCCACTAGGGGGTGTGGGTAACCAGCCTCATGGTTATGGGCCAGGTGGGAAGCTTAGGGCTGCGGGGAGAAGAAAGCTTGTTCAAGGAAGACTCACAAGCTCCAGTGCCTGCAGGAGCTGGTGGGAAATCCCTTCCAGGAGAAGTCAGGACCAGGAAGGCGAAATGGAGACCGAACAAATCCTGAGCCCTGCCGACGGAGGCCACACAAGAAATGGCCCTGTATCCAAGCACAAGCTAGAAAGGCAGACTTGTGTGTGGTGACTAAGCCAAATTTTAAGCAACACTGTGCCAGCCGAACATGATACATCTTCAGCCCAAGGGCATCGGCATTGCCTCCTCTGATCGAGATAGCGACTAATGCCAGGCTGCAGAACAGGGCTTCAAGCTTCTGGCAGTCTGGCCTCGGTGAGGGGCCCCGCCTAGGGTTGTGTGTACGCGTGTGAAATGAAGGCGCAATCATTGTTTTAATCATTGTTTTCTGTTTTTCCCTCTTCCCCCCGACCCCCCATCCCTTCCAGAAATGGAGGAGAAAAGGATCTTTCATCCAGCATTCCATTAGTGGCCTCTGCCTGGAGACGAAACCTGCCCAGCTGGTGATCAGCAAGTGTCAGGCTGACGCCCAGGCCCAGCAGTGGCAGCTGCTGCCGCACACATGACAGTAGCCCTGGGGCCTCCTGTACCTTTTGCATGAGACTTTGGGACCAGAGGGGGTTGGGGTGGGGGAGTGTCACGTGGGCCGTTTCCGTCTCCTCACATTTCTGCCAGGATCATCAGCAGACACCCCTGCGACACGTTTCCCCAAAGCTTGCTCTGGGGAGGGCGCAGGGGCACCCTGCCGTGTCCGTGTCCTGGGAGAGGCAGTGGTCAGAGTGCCAGGTTGTTGCTGGCAGACTAGGCAGGTGCCCTTTGTCCTCTCCCTTGGCCCTTCCGAGGGTCTGACAGTGGTGGGTGGGGCCCTGGGTGGGGCCCTCCCCTTGTTGCTTGGGGGCGGGGGGCAAGCGCAGAAGCCTGCGCAGAGGCCAGCCGGGGCCCTGGGGCCTGCTGTGGGGACGGCAGAAGAGAAAGTGGGCGGCTTTTCTGGAGAGGCTGACGGCTGGGAAGAGAGAGAGGAAGAGAGGGGCCGCCTGCAGGGTGGGCCGCAGCTAGGAAGGAGGTGAGCTCGGAGACCTGTCCGGGAGGTGCCGAGCCCAGGGCTTGGCTGTGGCAGGAATGGGATCCTGGGAGAACAGGTGGGCACTCAAAGGAGAACACGGATGGATGGAAACATGAAAGCGCAAGGCCTCGGGACATTACCCATCCGCCCTTGCCAGCCCCATGCGGAGCCTGACACACCCCGCTCCTCTGTGCGTGTCCACCGGCTCCGCAGGAGGCCGCAGAGGGAGCTGGGATATTGTTTTTTAAATGGACTGCGCCTCTGTTTGGCCATGTGCCCACCAAGACCTCTCTCTTGGGCCTTAATGACCAGCTGGTGCCCCGTCTCCTCTGCCTGAGCCCACTGGGAAGACAGGCAGCCACCACACACCCTCGAACAGCCCCCTGCGTTCTCACAGATCTTTGCCTCTGTAAATACAGCGTCACCGGTCAGGGCGGCCAGTAAGAATGGGACTCCTTTCTGGGGCAGAACATCCCCTACATGGCGTGACGACCCAGGCCACACCTCGTTCTCAGTCTCGTCCCCTGCGGGGAGGGCTCCCTCCAAGGCTCAGCTATTGCAGGGGCCTGGGAGGCTGCCTGGTGGCCCCTGTTTGGGTAGACAGTTCCCAGATCCTTCTCCCAGCCACAGAGAGCTCCGCTCCCACTCCTCCCATGGCCCTGTTGTGGGATTCCCCTCTGTTGTCCCCCCTTCCCCCGCCCCGCCCATCCTGCCCTGTGCCACTGGCTTAGGCAGTGTGATGGTGGGGAAAGACTCTTAGTCCGGAACCCCTGGGGTCTCTGTCCTGAGGCAAATCGCCCTGGTGTGGACACCTCTACCTGGTCTTTCAAAGAAAGTGTATGTTCACAGGATTTCATGGCTTCCGGAAGGTTTAGGGTTCTCCAGTATACCGTTATGTGTGTGCACATATGCATTTTTCCTGGGGAGAGGCCCGTGGGGGCTCCCAGCTTCTTAAAGAGGTCCTTGACCCCCATAGGGTCTCCGTCTCTGCTTGGGAGTGGAGCCACCATCGATCTGAGCTGCCACCCCCCGTAGTCCTCCCTGCTGTGCCCGGATCGCCTCTCCTGCTGCCCACATGGCCATGAGTGGGGAGTGCGTGTCCATGGTCTGCGGCACCACCGCGGAGGGGTGTTCAGCGGCCTCCTCTGCCACCTGGCTCTCAGCAGCGCCCCTTGGCCGCGCTCCCGTGCTTGGACACATGCAACCCCCCAGACTCAGCACAGGAAACCCTTCCCCTTGGTGGCCTCGCTGTTCCCTTCCTCTGCTGTGAAGTTTCACTGCCGCCATCCCGGGACCCCCGTCCACCTGGGATGCCTCCTGCCACAGCTGAGGACAGAAGCAGGGCCAGAGTGGAGGCCGCTCCTTGGAGCCTCAGCCGGCTCAGGTGTGGGCTTCTCTCGTTGAATGTAAGGACTGCTGCTCAGAGCGCCTTGAGAAGGTCTCTCCCTCACCTCCCGTGGTCACCAGGCTCTGCACTTGTCAGCTGTCCTTTGTGGGGATTCAGCCCAGTTCTGGTTTTGCTTCTCCTCTTCTTGACCAAAGCATGTGCCACTAGCTGTCCTTGAGGACATTGTCTTTATGAAACACACACCTGGAATAAAACCACTTCTTACAAGTTCACATGCACCAGCGCCTTCCTTTCCAACTCCAAGCCTGCCCTTCACAGCCCCGCCGTGGTCTGGGGACAGCCGGGTCTCACTGTGTGGAAGGGAGACTGCAGGCGCTCAAGTCCAGCCTGTCCTGCACATGGGGGCTGCCTGCACTGGAGACCCAGCAGTGGCCCTGCTGCTAGGTCAGGCCTGGGACCGGAGCCCATGGACCAGTGCGTGTCCAACTGAGCTTGGCCTCATTTCAGAGCACTGCTGGGCCTTGGAAATAGACATCCGGGAACTTCTCCTGATGGATGTGGCCGCACCGCCACTCGTGCCTGTAGCCAGCCCTCTGTCTTCCCTGGGAGCCAGGCCTGGCCGCTCTGAGCTGCCCGTCCCCTCTGTTACTACCTCAGAAGGCAGTGCTAAAAATCCAAGCAGGATATTCAAAATAATTCTAGAACAAGCCCTATCAGCCTGGGCTTGCTTGATCGAGTAGCAGATGCTCTGCCTAGTGTTTCCCTGGAAACTAATTGGAAACCCCCATCATGGCTGTGATCAGAAGCTGAACCTATCCAGGTAAAAATAAATGCTGCATCATTATACACAGAAACTGCAGCGGGCGGACCAGGGTGCCGCTATCCTCTCCTGGTCGCAGCCGTTTCTGCCCCAGCCTATTTCTCAGAGCTTCTGACCCCACAGCGTTCAGAGCCTGAAGCAAAGCTCTGGCTGGCAGCAGTCACACGACCCGGCTGCAGCAGCCGGCTGGTTCTGGATGTAGAAAGGGGGTCCCTGCAGACGCCCCTGGCTGCGGCCTTTGCCTGGCACCCTGTCCCCTCGCCCCAGGGAGCCCAGCCCTCTGCCCAGCCCTGCTCAGGCCTCTTCTCGGCCAGACTGGGTCAGCTTCCCTCTCCATCCTCCGTGCCCCAGCCTTGACAGGGTCTGGGGCTGGCTTCTGAGTCAGGCTTTCTATCTTGCTGTCCTCCAAACACGCCTCTCCCACCTCCCTTCTCCTTGGAACTGAGGCTGTTTGGCAGACCCGGATGAGGGACATCGGCTTTGGGCCAGCCTCCCCTGGGTCCAGCCGGAGCGGTTCCTGGTCCTGAGCCTTCGGGCCTTGGCTTCCGTTTTGTCTGTTTTTGCTGCACTGAGGAATCAAGCCCCAAGGCCGCGTATACGTGAGGCAGGTGCCCTCCCTCTGAGCTACTCCCCATTCCCTTGGCTTTGATTTTCCCAAAGGCTCTGCCCCAACCCCGCAGTAGGGTTCTCCCATCTGCATTTGGGGGACAAACCCAGACAACATCGCTGTTCTGCAAGGGGTCTGGCACCCCACGACACTGGGGAAACGGATGGGGTGTGGTCCTCCTCCAGGAAACCGAAAAGGCTGGAGTTCACGATGTCCACGGGTCACTCTGAGGGTGTGCTCAGTGTGGTTGGTACTTGTGTCCCTGGTGCTGCAGTCAGCGTCCCTCCAGAAGATGGGAGTGGACACGGCCAACTCCTCTCATGGCAAGAAGTCTTCATTGCCAGGAACTCAGCAAAGCCCAGAGGAGGATTCCAGCAGTGGCCACTCGCTCCTGGCCACTATTCGGCCGGGCTCTCTGAGTCACCTGCTGCATGGAGGCTCCAGAGCTGTCTGAAGTTAACCCCTCCTTCTGAGTCCACTCTGTGAAGTTTGGGGACGAGTGAAACAGACTCTACAAACCCCATTAGCTGGCTCAGCACCCTCTACCACTTACTAGCTGTAAGTAGTTGGAATAAATGATTTCATTTCAGTGAAATGATTCCATCTCACTAGATGAAATAAATGATTTCCTCTCAGCCTTGGTTTCCTGACCTGTAGAATGGGGGCACTCATAACCCTAGAGGGTTTTTGTAAAGACTGATTTATTTGATGGTTGCAAAACATCTGGCCCTTCCTAAGTGCTAAGTAAATCTACGTTATTACTATTGTTATTAAGCTTTTTCTGAATGCTTGCCACATACCAGGCCTTTTGCGAGGAGGACGACACGAATGTTAACAAGACAGAAAAGGGACCTGTCCCGGAGCTCATATTCTAGCAAGGAGGATGGGCAAATGAACTACAGCTTATAAACTATAAATTAAGGGCTGTAATAGCGGGGCTGGGGGTTTAGCTCAGCGGCACAACGCCTGCCTGGCAAACACAAGGTCATGAGTTCGATTCCCGGTACCGAAAAACAAAACAAAACAAAAAGAACTGTAATAGCACATGACAAAGGCAGGAGTCAGGAGGCTGCAAGATGGGCCAGTGAGTTGCTCTGTCCCTCCAAGAAAGCTTCCAGGACAGCTGGAAAGGACATCGTGGGCTATGCCTGCCTTGGGCTCGGAGAGGTCTGGTGAAATCAGCAGCCACCCCAGCCAGGCTGGCAGCGCAGCAGGCGCTTTTCTGGGCAGCCCGGGCTTTGGACCCAGTGCACACAGCACCACGGTGAGGCGGGTCAGTCTGTGACTCAGAACTCTGGAAGGAAGCCACACAGACAGCCCTGTGCCTCTCGGGCGTGTGACCATTTCTCCAGGGCTCAGTTTTCTTCCTTTGGGGAGGAGCGGGATAAGGAGCCTGGAAAACCGTGTGCTGCTTGTCTGGAGAGGAGGAGCGCAGCCATCAGGAGGCTCCGGAGGGACGCGTTTCCTCCTTGCCCTTAGATGGCCTCAGATCCCCTCAAGCCATCTGAAAACCAATCCCATCTTACGACAAGTTGTCTTTCAAACAAACGTTTCTCCAGGTATGGCCCAGAAAACCTGCTCGGGGCCCCTTGCCGGGCCTGGAAATGGGCGTGTTCCCGGCTCTGTTCAGACCTGCTGCCCAGTCCTCCCGGAGGATGAACAGCCGGGCTTGCGACCACCCCCCCGGTTCCCAGTGCGGACTTGCCGCACGGCCCTCTGAGCGCCAGCTGCGCACGTATGGGACAGGCAAATTCAGCCCCACCCAGACCTTCTGAGCAGGAAGCCCTGCGTTTCCTGCGTCCCAGGGCCTGGGAGGCACCCTCAAGTCTGAGAGGCACGGGGTAGGTGGTGGAGCTGGGTTCTGCTCCCTGACGGGGGCCATGGGTCACCCGTGGTGCAGAAGCCTCAGGGAGCCGCGGCGGTTCTGCTAAGCAGGCTGCGTGTCACAGTGGGCGGGAACAGATCCGGCCGGGGCAGAGAGTGTGGGCGGGCACGAGGCTCAGCCAAGGGTCACACGGAGCCAGCTGCCAACCTTGCCTGGTGTGATTTATGAGTCTCTCTCTCAACACGAACCACACACTGCTGACTTCACTCTGCCACTCCAGAGGGCCGTTAATCAAGGCCCAGCACCACCTGCCCAGCCTGCAGCCCTGACGTACATCTTCCCGTAAGTCACACGGCGGAGCCTGATGTCCTTCACAGCCGGGCCTCCACTTGTCCACCAGACACTGAACATCAACTGTCTTAACTTCTTTAACACCAACCACAGTGCTATCAGGTAGGCACGTTCAGCAACCCCCCACTGACAGAGTAGGACACTGAGGCCCAGAGAGGCTAACGCAGCTGTCCCCAACCTTCCCTGTCCGGGGACAGGCGTCATGGAAGACACAGCAGTGTGTGTTGGAGGATGGCTTTGGAATGACTCAAAGGGGCGTGCAGCCCAGCTCCCTCCATGCGTGGGTCACGGTTGGGTGTGCGGCTCACGCTCCTGGGAGGTTCTAACGCCCCTCTGATCTGCCAGAGCCCAGGTGGTAATTTGAGGATGGGGAGACCACAGGCTCGCCTGCTCTCATCTCCTGCGGAGCACCCCAGTTCCCGGGGCCGCAGGCTGTATCCGTGTGTGAGACCCCTTGATTGAAAGCACTTACTCAGGGTTACGCAGCCGGTAGGAGGGAGGGCTGGGATTTAAAGTGGTGGCGTCTGACCCAGCGTTCTGAATTCAAGTCAGCCCTGCACCTCTGAACCACTCCCACACTGCACAGGAGCGCAGGGAGGCCGCAGGCAAGGCTCTCGCGCTCTCCCTGCGAAGGCCGTGGGTTTCCGCACCCAGCTCCTTGCGCGGCGGGTTCTGAGAAGGCTGAGCGGGAGGGTGGCTGCAGCCGCCGTGCTATCTTCTCACAGCTGCGGAGAGGGCTGAGCGGCTGCAACACCTGGCGTCATAGGACACACGGCCCCAAGGACACGGTGTTGTTCTCTGATCCCAAGGTGACTGCTGACGATCAGCTGGCATCAGGACCTCAGCAGGGGAGCCCCCTGGGTGATCCGGCCCAGGGCCTGGGGCCGCACGGTCCACTCCCGCTGCACCCTGGCCAGGGCCGTTCCCCAGATGTCCTCCTGCCGTTAAGGTTCTCCATCTCCAGACATTAGTTTTGTGTTTGCTTAGACCTCTGAGTCCCCTGCCCTGCGGCTGTGTCCATCTGAGGTGGACTTTGCAGAGCCCCAGTGGGTTCTCTGCTCATTTTTAAAAAAATTAATTTTATTGGTATGTTTTAGATATACATAATGATCACATTCATCGTAGGGAATTTGTACCTGTACGTGATATATCTTGATTCTTCTTTCCCCCCAATTCCCTTCCTTCAGCCTGTCTTTTCTACCTTATTTACAAAAGCTTTGTTTCCATTTTTTGCTTCTGTTCTCTTATTTCTCTTCCTTCCTTTCCCTTTCCCCCCTCCTTTGTTCCCCTTCCCATTTGAACATTTTTTTGTTATTTCCCGATATCTAGTATACATTTTGGTCCTTATTTACCCTTTTGTTTTCTCATACCGGAGAAACAATGCAATATTTAAACACATGTGTCCAATTTATCTCACTTTAGAGTATAGTCTCCAGGTGCATCCATTTATCTATAAATGTCTCAAGTTTATCCTTCTTCATGGCAGAGTAGTATTCCATTGTATTAAAAAACCCCACACAACTTCTTTATTCATTTATCCATTGTTGGGCATTTGGGCTGTTTCTAAGATTTAGCTATTATAAACTATGCCACTATAAACAGGAATGTGCAGATATCACTGTAGTATGATGCTTTTAATTCTTTGGGGAAGATACAGAGAAGGGGAATA